TTCCCAGGCACTCCAGACATAGAAGGTGCTTCAGGAATATCACTAAGCACATCCCAGAGAAGCATCACAACGGTAGCAGCAAGTAAATGGCACTTCCCACCCAAATAAACCCACAACTTTCCATTTGGGAGGGGGAAACACCACCATTTCTTTACATAATGGGCCTGTCTATGAGGCTTATGAAAGGAAAAGATCAAAGGCCACCAGTGTTGGAGATCACCAACAAATGGACAATTCATGTTGATGTTTGCTCTGTGGGAAGTGCTGCAGCTTCAGCTCATAGATATATCACATTTCCAAAGGAAACAGCCACTTAAGTCATCTTCAGACTGCTATCAGAACAAAAGAGCACAGGCTACCAACGCTGCCACATGGGGACAAATCCAAGGAAAACTGAGCCTATGACGTGGTTCCAGGTCGTTCTGCTGTGGAGATCCACTGTTAAAGTGGAAGAAGACCCAAGTGAGAACCTGGAACCTGATGCCAAATGTCATTTCAATAACGACAAAGTCTCACAGTGCGAGTCACAGCTCGGAATTGTTGGTCTAGTGCAGTGTTTTTCAACCCCTGGTCCTCGGTACACTAGTGTGCCGTTAGTGATGGTCAGGTGTGCTATAGAAAATCATCCTGTTTCACCTCATTGGTCTTGATAATGAATTATTATCTGCAAATAATATGCCATTTTTGAGTGTCTGTGCTGTTCTAGTGACTGTTGGCGTAATCATGTAATAATTCCTAGACTAGATTTTGTATATAATTTTGTATATTGAAGTGGACATATTAAGAGCAATTTGAAAGAAGAAATATAAAATATGATAAAAATACATTTTTGTGTTTATTTGATTCCTATTCAAGACACTTAAGATAAGATAAGAATAAGATAAGAATAACTATAGTGTTACTATAGGCGGCTACAGATTTGTTTAACATTTTTGGTTGGTGGTGTGCCTTGTGGTTTTTTCTATGAAAAAATGTACCTTGGCTCAGAAAAGGTTGAAAAACACTGGCCTAGTGGAGTTCCTCCTCCTCATGTTCAGTGTGCTCAGTGCTCGGTCAGAGCCTGTTCCTCTGTGTCAGAGGCTCAGTGTTAGCTCTGCAGGAGGCAGAACATTAAAAGAAACTGATCAGCAAAGTCCAGCCCAAACAGACCTATCCTTTCCCTAATTCGTGGTGTCAGCCGCGTTCTTTAGCTGGAAGCCTGAGAATAAACCAGAGCAGATCAAATAGGACATTTATTGGTCACAGATAAAGTAAACCAGCTGAGCCCCAAAATCCAGGTGTGATGGACATTTATCTTCTGGGCTGGACTGGAACTGAGTGCTATTGGCCAGTTAGCTCTGACATGAACAGGCAGCTCCTAATTCATGCAGATTTCACTGGAATGTGGTAACAAAGTGTGTGTGTGT